ATCCTTTAAATGGTTTATGAAGATTAAAGAAGTAAATATTTATCTAGAAAAATGGAAAAATGCTTGGTTCACAAGAAGTCTTATTAAATAAAACCACTTAGTGGTTCAGTCCACAATTACTAAGCACTTGCTGTGTGCTTGGCACCAGATAAAATAGAGGCAAGGGCCCCACAGCAGAAGAGTAAGTATTTAATGACACCTCTTCAGTGTTTCTCAATTGCACACAATGGTCACATCAATACATATCTCCTAGTTCTTTTTATAAGGTGATATTGATATATTTTCAGCAGAAGATGGAACATTTTTCCTCTTCCTGAATCTGGGAAGACCTCTGTAACTGCTTTGATGAGTAAAATATGGTAGAAGTGACAGCATGTGACTTCTGAAGTTACACCATCAAAGGCATCACATCATCCACTTATTCTCTTAGATCACTTCCCTGAGGGAAGCCAGGCATCACGCCATGAGGACACTTACAGTCCCAGGGAGAGTCCATGTGGGAGGGAACCAGGGTCATCAGTCTAAGTAGAATGCCAACTCACCAACCATAGGAGTGAGCTGCCTTGAAAGTGGGCTCCCCTACCCCAGACGAGTGCAGCCCCAGCTACCATGTGATTGCACCTGAGTGAGGAACTTCAAATACAAGCTGGCCAGCTGAGCACCACCCCGACTCCTGGCCCACAGAAACCAAGAGTCAAACTCTCAGTTAAGAAAATCAGTCAAACAGAAAAAGGTAATGAAAACATCAGCTTTCTCATCCATAACACCCTCTCACTATGACAAATATTTTATAGTATTTCACTATCCTGAAATTAAATCAATGCAAATTACTGACCTCCGTGCCTCACTTTTAAAATTATGTCCTAACTGTAATGTTAAATGGGAGAAAATCGGTTTTTAGCTATGTGCACTTAGAATGTATATGCTTATTAAAGCTTGCCCAGAGATATAACAAAGTGGTTAGATGCTATCCTGCAAGAAGACACCAGCTATACAGGCAGATTCACTCCTGTGGGCTGTGCTGGAAACTCAGCTACTCACAAGCAACATTACCATGTGTGACACTACTTCCCACTCCTTTCTCCATCTGGAAACAATCTAAATGGGGGACCTGGGAAAGTTTCAAATGATGTAAAACATAGTGTTCAACTTACATAATAGTTGCATTCCTGTGGATTCATTAAATCTTACAGTATTGCAAAACTCAATGAATATGAACATGTAAAACAGAGTTAGATTGGGACTTCAATGATAACAAATAGATTTTTCTTCAGTCTGAAGGTCCATCAGGACAGTTAAATGCTACATAGGATTTGGAACTTGTCTGATCCTTCATGTTTCAGAATGTGACATCACTAGTCTCTCTCCACCTCTGCAACAATCAGTTTACACAAATATCCAAAAAGCTCCTGGGGCAGGACCATTCCCAGAACCATCACCAGTGAAGATGGATCTTTATCAGGAGGGTTACACTGCAGGCCCTTTGAGAACAAGGTCCTGACTTTCTCTTGTGCTTCACACAGAGGCAACAGCGTATGCAAAGGCCCTGAACCAGGAAGCACAGCAGGTTTAAGGAACCATCTGGAGAACAGCATGATTAAAAAGGTTGAGTCGGGCTGGGGATTTAGTTCAGTGGCAAAGTACCTGCCTTGAAAGTGCGAGGTTCTGAGTTCGATACCTGGTATTGGAAGAAAAAGAAGAAGAAAAACGAAAAGTTTGAGTCAGGAGAAGAGAAAGAGAAGACTCAGAAAGATACCAAAGGATGCAATCATGAGATTTGTGGGTCATTGTCAAGAACTCAACTCTGCTAAGCAAGACAGGAGCAATGGAGAGTTGAAAGAAGTAAGATGACGTTAGATTTTAACATGGTTCTCTGGCTGCTGCCTGATTTGCATAATACTGATCTTCATCTGGCTGTCAACTGTATATTTCATGACTGTCAGGCCCCTGGTACCCAGCACCACACCCAACACCTGAATGAAAAAGACTGAATAGATTAGGAAAGAGAATGTTTGGATTGAGGCCAAATGCATCACCCTCCTTTCCCCATTCAATTCAAGACTCAGCCTCAACACCACCCTCCCTGGAGGAAGCCTTGCTAGTCACCTTCACAACCCAGGCCTCTCTGTCAACTGCCTTTTCAGGGCCTGAACTTCTTGACAGTTAGTCACCAGCTGGACACATCTATTCAGGTGTCACCCCTGCCCACTGGAACATAACAAACATTGACTATCTCCAAGGACAGTCAGTGATCCTCACCATCACTCCAGAGGCTTTATTATTCCCATTTTACAAAGAGAAAACTGAGGTACATACATAGAAGGTCGCTCAGCAAGTAGATGGCTAAGCCAGGATGTGTATCTCAAAGGCTCTGCTCATCACCACTGAGCCACAGAGCCTCACCATGCCCCCTGCTGAGGACAAGACCACATCTATCTTGTTCAGCAGCATGTGCTCAGCACAAGACCCCAGCCTAAAGACTACACAGTCCATCATCAACATTGGATCATGCATTGTGAATAGGCTCACTCATTAAGATTTATTTTGGGGCCGGGGATTTAACTCAGCGGTTGGGTGGCCTGCCTAGCAAGGGCAAGGACCCGAGTTCAATCCTTGGTACCAAAAAAAAAAAAGATTTATTTTCAACTCCAAAATCAATTTTCTTGACACTCTCTTAGTCATTTACAGACGTGCACAGGATGGCAAAAAAAATAGAGGCATCAGATACTCATGCTCCTAGCTGACACAAGGTGAGCAAGTGACACTCTGGCTTCTGATTTCAGCTTTCATGAATGTCCTTTCTCAATCCATTTAAAACCATGCAGGTGGTTGCATTTTTGTGCTTTTTGTTGGTGATTTTGCTCTTTAGATTGGCATAGTGCTGAAGTGCCGTTTAGTGTTCTTAAGTACAAGAGGGCTGCATGTGCCTTACAGAGAAAATAGATGTGTGAGATAAACTTCATTCAGGCATGAATTACAGTGCTACCAGAAAAATGAGTTCGATGTTAATGAATGAGTAATATAAATTAACTAAGGTGTCTTTAAACAAAAATACACACAAAACAAAGTTACAGACTGGTGAATAAATTGTGACCAGAGGTTCACAGGAGCCTAGCCATGTATCTTCCTTACCAGCAAAAGTACTCACAAATTCCTCATTTGCCAGAATTTTATACAGCATGATTTCAATGAATCACGAGAATTGAGGGTATGTGATAAATAATAGCTGGCAGGACAAAGTAATGGGGAGACAAACCAGGCTTGGATGAGAACATGGGAAGGACTTAGCCTCATCTCCTGCTCTCTCCTTGTTCAGGGGTCAGAGTCACCAAAGTGGATTGGCAGCCGATGAGAAATGGCACTGCCCACAGAACCCAGGAATACTCTTGCCACGAGCTGGTGGTTCGCAGAGGCCAGCTGTTCAGCATCAGGCTGCATCTCACTGGAGTCCTGGACAGAGAAGAGACCCTCACCCTCACTGTGCAGACAGGTAACTGGGCCCAAGCATGCCCCTTCTGGGGAATAGTGGGAGAGAATTGTTTTGTGACCAGTAACTTGAGACACTGAGGTGAGCAGCCCAGCTTTAAAGGACCCTATGGTGGACCTAACTTTGAACCCTGGAAGCTTCTGATAACAGCCTCCTGGAGACCACTGGAAGATGCAGCCTGCAGAAAGTGGGATGAGTGAGGAGACCTCTCTGGAGCTCTATGCATGCCAAAGAATCCAGGGCTTTGAAGGGTATGGGAGGTTACTGGGCACTTCTGGAGCTCAAGCTCTTCCTCCCTTTCCTGGCCAGACATAAGGCAGACTTTGGTTTGGAAGGGTGCTGTCATGTTCTCCTTGGCCCAGGAAGTGGCCAGGAGTCAAGACAGCTGAAGTGTCCCACTCTGCTGTTGACCTCGTGGAGATCATTTGGGAGCTTCCCCCAACCATCTGCAGCACTTCTGGAAGTGAGATCTGGGCTCCCATGCCTGTGACTTCTCCACTTCTCTGAAGCTGGGTTCTCTAGGCTGGGTCACCTGATACCCTCTCCTTCTGCCAGGGTCTCAGGCTTCCGAGGCTCTCCACACCAAAGCTGTGTTCCAGACAGCGGATCTGGAGGTTGGTGATGCCTGGACAGCAGCAAAGGAGGCACAGACAGGGAACACCGTGACTGTCAGCCTCGCCAGTCCTCCAGATGCTGTCATTGGCCGATACCTACTGAGTGCCCGGGCTTCCTCCCGCCGCAAACACAGCGACCGGAAGCTGGGCGAGTTTGTTCTTCTTTTCAATCCATGGTGCCCAGGTAGGAGCTGCCAAGTCCAAGGTAGAGAGTCTCCTGACAGCTAGCCTCAGAGGCCAGCCTGCCTCTGAACAGTGGGAAGCAGATTAAGGGGCAGGGAGGTGAATGCCAAGAATTTGACCTGGGCAGCAGCAAGCACTGGGCAGAGGAATCTCCTAGCCTGTGTCTAAGGGGCAGGAAGCTAGCAGGTTCTGATATCAGAAGCCAATGGGTAGGGGTGGGGCTAGATAGCAGGAGAGGCCATAGAGTCACTAAAAGCCAGGGTTTTGGACTCATTAGCTCCAGCTCTGCTAAGTCACTTCTCTGTAATATGGAAATAATAAATAAAAACTAGTTCTTGGAATCTGGTAGAAATTCATAGAGCTAATGTTGTAAGGTACAAGGTTCATGATAAGGGTAAGGGGCACCCATCAGAATTCTTTTCCATGTTCAAGAAATATCAGTTTTCCATGGGCATCAAGGTAGGCCACCCAATGTGCCAGGATTTCCAAAAGCCTCCCATCTTGGGCTGGGCAGGGGTTGGTCTCTTCATGGAAAAAGACCACCCAGGAGGGATGAGGCTTGGCAGGGAGGAGGAGGGAGAGGCAGAAAGGTGCCTGAGGCAATCAGTCTCTGGGCATCATGTCTTGCTCCTGACCCCTGATGTAGCCCCTTCCCCAGGCCAGTGGGGCCAGAGCCTCAGCCCATGCCAGGCCTGATGACTGCTTTACAGAGGACGATGTATTTCTGGCCTCAGAGGAGGAGAGACAGGAGTACGTGCTCAATGACAATGGCATCATCTTCCGCGGCGTGGAGAAGCACATCCGAGCCCAGGGCTGGAACTACGGGCAGGTCTCCAGGGGCACAGCCACAGGGCTGGGGTGTGGGAAAGGCCAATATGGGAGCCCTGGGTGCTTGCTTTTATCCAGAGGGCAAGATGAGCTGATCCAGTCATCTACATAGCAAATCTTTTCATTCATTCATTCAACCGCTATTGTGCAAGGGCCTGTGCTGGGTCCTTGAAAAGGAGTGATACTTTGGACATGATTTGCAAATAAAAGAGGTCAGTTCTGTATGGAAGGGTAAATAGCTTCAATCAGTGGCTCTGAAACCCAAGTGTGTGTCAGAATCCAATGGAGGGCCCCTTAAAACACAGGGCTCCCCCCACCACTGCTGATTGAAGATGAGAATCTGCAATTTAACAAGTTCCTAGCTGCTGCTGATGCTGATACTACAGGGACCAGACTTTGAGAGCCACTGGCCTAGAGAAATACTAGCATCTCTCAGTACCATAGGCAACCCATTTCAGAACCCCCTGTAGGTACCAGATTTTGCAGATGCTTGAGTCTCTTCCTCTTGTACCTTTAAACCATCTCTAAATTATTTATAAAATCTAACATAATGGAAGTGCTATTCAAATAGTTGCTAACCTGTATTGATTAGGAAATAATGACAAGGGGAAAATCTATACATGTTCAATATAGAGGTAATGTTTTTCCAAATATTTTCAATCTGAAGTTGGTTGAATTCCTAGATACAGAACCCGAGACCACAGAGCCCATGGACATAGAAGGCTGACTATAGTTACCATTGCCAGCTGCAATGGAGGGAGGAAAATGAGAGTGGTAGGACTACAGAGAGGGCAAAAGGAGTCTCCATCTTGGAACTGAGGAAGGTTTCCTGATATTGGAATGGGGCCTCCAAATTTGGGCAGGATCTCGGCAGGCATGGGAAAGAGCAGACAGAGAAGCCTAAAAGTAGGAGGTAGAGGAGTCCAGGGTCATCTAGAGGATTCTGCCTGTGGGATCCAGGTGCCACCCAGGAGGAAGGTCGACAGGCAAGTGAAAGGCTTGATTATCTAGTTGAAGAGTCCTACGGTGCCCTACAGGCTGGAAGGGAAAGCTTCTCAGGCTCAGGGACTGGGTGAGGATGATAAAATGAAGGGGCTCATCTAAGGAGTAACCACTACTCAGCACCCACCTCTTATAGCCATGGGAAAAGTCAACCAAGGATTGCCCAGACTTACCCAATTTTCAGAGAAAAGAAAACTAAATGGATATGAAAAATCCCTCAGGTTTTAAGTGTTACCAAGTAATCCAAATATGTTGAAAGCATTGTGTAGACCAAAGGAACCTATTAGTGGTGCAGATGTGGCTTAAAAGCCATCAGTTTTATGATTTTATAGGGGGTAAGGGGAGCCGTGGAAGGTGACTGAGCAGGTTAGGGATGTGATTAGTCTGAGTCTCCAGTAACCCTGGTATTGCTTAAGGGAGAGTTTGTGGCACTTGGGGAGGCTCTGTGATGTCCCTGGTGGGTGAGGTGGGGCAAACTACCATGCAGACAACCATGACTGACCAGGTAGGGAGGTAGAAGGGCCTGGAATGTGCAGAGGCTCCAGCCTCTGAGCACGGCCTCTCTGGGGAGCAGTTTGAGGAGGACATCCTGAACATCTGCCTCTCCATCCTGGACCGAAGCCCCAGTCACCAAGAAGACCCAGCCACCGATGTGTCCTGCCGTCATAACCCTGTCTATGTCTCCAGAGTCATCAGTGCCATGGTGAGTAGCCCCTGCCTGCCACTTCCCAAGATACAGGCTCCCTCAAGGATCCCTGACCCAACTCCAGGGCCCAGCTTGGGATTTTCCCAAATCCCCTTGTTTCCGTTCTTTATTGCTATGTGACCAACCACCCCCAAATGCAAGGGCATAAAGAACCCAGAGTTCTGACTGCAACTCTGTAGGTCGGGAATTTGAGCAGAGCACCATACAAATAGCTTGTCTCTGCCTCAAGTTTCTTCAGCTGGGGGTGTCGCAATGGCTGTGGCTGGCTGGGATGGTTTGGCAGGACCATATATCCAGGGCCTCGATTCTAGTGATCGGTGGCTCCTTGTCTCCTGCCCATGCCATGTCGGCTGGAGCTGGAATGTCCACGATGGTGTCCTCACTCTTGCACCAGGCTCCTGGACTAGGGAGCAGCAGAAACTAGTCAGGCATCAAACTTTGCCTTTGTGCAGCCTCTCCCTAAAACTAGTTTGGGCTTACAGTAGAGCATCCTCATACAATGAAAACAAGTATGAAAGCCTCATACAGTGAAAACAAGCCTCATACAGAAAAAAACAAGTAAAGTTGCCCATCTTTCAAGGCCAAAACCTGCAATTGGTCCAGTAACCCTTCCTCCATAGTCAGTAAGCAAAGCAGTCCCAAGGTGTCTCCGACTCAGGAGAGAGGCATGGATCTCACCTGTGCCTATGAGAAGTACACAGCAGCACAAGCTCCAGGTTTAGGATCAACCTTTACCCAGCTTACTGTGTAACTTGGGCAAGCCCCACAACCCCTCTAAACTTAGAGAACCTACAGGTACACCCAAATTAATTAACCTAACATGCATAGATAGAATCCTTAAAATAGTGCCTAGTCCACAGTTACGACTCGAAAAATGTCAGTTGCCTCTACAATGATTGTACCACTAACAAAATAGAGAGTATTTAAAACAGGAAATACTCTAAAATTATACATGATTTTAAAGAACAGATTATCCGAATCAAAGATAACTGGAAATTGTAAGAAGTGCCGAAAGTAGGAGAAGGTATTTTCTGAAGATCTAACTCTGGGCCAAGGACATGCCAAGGTCACACTCTATCACTGAACTATATCCCCACCCCTCCAAAAGTAGGTAGTTTGACTGCAGAGCCCCTAACTTTCTATTTAAAACCAAGGAGTAACCCCAGCTGACCTGATGCTCCAAAGCTGGGAAGATTTTACAGAGGTGAGGTTCCTGAAGGGGAGGCCTGCCCAGTAGTGGACCCACGGCTCCTTCCCCCAGGTGAACAGCAACAATGACCGGGGCGTGGTGCAAGGCCAGTGGCAGGGCAAATACGGCGGTGGCACCAGCCCGCTGCACTGGAGAGGCAGTGTGGCCATTCTGCAGAAGTGGTTCAGGGGCAAGTACAAGCCAGTCAAATACGGCCAGTGCTGGGTCTTCGCAGGAGTGATGTGCACAGGTACGGGAAGGGCTCCTCTCATCAGCTTACTCCCTTATTTGCATTGATTAACATATATTTGCATGTACTCCAATCAGTCTGCCTTGATGAGGACATAAAAGTCTGGTTAATGAGGGAGAGACTGATACTATGGATTATTTACTTGACATTTGATCTTTTATTGGGCAGTAGTCCTCCCACTGCCTCCAACTCAGTGAGTGGCTTAGGTAGGCTCTGCAGCCCTTTAGGTCTCCGGTCCCCCCAGAAAAACTCTAATGTGACCCCAAGGGTTTGCCAGGGTCAGAGCCCATCTGGCAGTAAGGTCCCTAGAAGTCACCTGAAAGAGTGCTGAGAAGATGGTGGTATTGTGTCCCAGATCCCCCCACCCTCCTGCCCAAGTACAGGAAGTGGCCAGAATGGGGTGGAGGAGCCTGTGGAGGTACACAGACCCCCATTAACCTCCTGAGGTCTGGGTCCTGCCTGCCCCTGGAGCCTTTGGGCTCTCTGCTCTGCAGTCCTCAGGTGCCTGGGGATCCCCACACGGGTGGTGTCCAACTTCAACTCAGCCCACGACACCGACAGGAACCTGAGTGTGGACAAATATGTAGACTCCTTTGGGCGGACCCTGGAGGACTTGACAGAAGACAGCATGTGGTGAGTCCCAGGCCAGGCCTTGTCCAGCCCAGTCCCAAGTGGTCATTTTCTTCTCTCCTCTCCTCATACCCACATTTCTTTGTGATGGTGGGGCTTCCAACACCACCTAGTTTAACAGAGTCACCCCTCTTACTCCTGGGTGCTCATCAAGATATTTTCCCAAAGACAGTGATCTTCCTCAGAGGAGCTCTGAGGCCAGCTATAAAGATGCCAACTCAGGCAAACCATGAACTGAGTTTCTCTCTGCTGCCTCCTTCCTGTGTGATCTTGTGAGTCCCTTCCTAATCACAGGAAATTGAGGATAAACCAGAAACTGCTCACTAGGGCCTACTGAGATCTGCATAATCTACACCCTACCTATCCTCACATTTATCATGTCCCAGAGATACTTGTACACTTTCTATTCCTTGAACACACTCCACTTTTTCTTATCTTAGAAACTTTGCACACACTATTTCTTTGCCTCCCTTCATTCTTCCCCTGGCTAGTTCTGTCTCACCTACAGCATCATTTACATAAAGTAGATCTCCAGAAGTTATTCTCTGTTCAAGCCCCTTTTTTTTCTTCACAGAACTTATTGTCACTAGCACTTTTTTTTATTTATCCACTAACTCGATCCTTTCTGTCTTCCCACCTGTCCCTTTGTTCGACTTCAAGTTGCTGCATGAGTGCAAGGACCTTCTGTCTTATTTACAGTTGTATTTTTGGTACCCTGAAGAACAGGTTTTTATATGTGTACATGCTCACAGAGGGAACCTTGCCCATCCTTTTTTTGGCAGGAATTTCCATGTCTGGAATGAGAGTTGGTTTACCCGGCAGGATCTGGGCCCCTCGTACGATGGCTGGCAGGTTCTGGATGCTACACCTCAGGAGGAGAGCGAAGGTAGGGCTCACTGGTTGTGTCCCAGACCCCTGTCTTCCCTCCCAAAGTTGCTCATACCCACCCATCCCACCCAGGTAGGTTCCAGTGTGGCCCAGCCTCGGTCACAGCCATCCGCGAGGGTGACATACATTTGGCCCATGATGGCCCCTTCGTGTTCTCGGAGGTCAATGCTGACTACATCACCTGGCTGTGGCACAAGGATGAGAGCCAGGAGCGTGTGTACTCGGACACAAAGAAGATTGGGAGATCCATCAGCACCAAGGCAGTAGGCAGTGATTCCCGCGTGGACATCACCAACCTCTACAAGTACCCAGAAGGTAAGGTCCCCGTGGTGGCTTCTATTAGCTTCCCCTCGACGGCCCAGTGCAGAGGGTGGCCCAGGGCCAGATTCTACCTGCATGTTATGATAGTGACCAGCACTTCTGCTGAGCATTGTCTCAGGCTGGAGCCAAGTGCCTTTATTTAGGCTAAATTGATTGCTTCCTCTGTTTGCTAGGTTCCTCTACTGTTAGATGATTTCCCACGTATAATGATAACAGCCTCATTTCCTTGACCACTTGCCATATGGCAGGCACTGTATTTAGGTACATTCACATATGATCATGATAATTACTGCTGGTAATAATAGTGATGATCGTAGCACGCCTTGTCCATTGACTACCTAGGAAACATGGTGCTAGGCACAGTTCAGAACAACAGTAACAGCAGCTCCTGCTTGTCATCTGCCAGGGCCTCTGCCCCGGTCACTCACTTATGGTCCCCGGTTTATGGAAGAACCTGTACAAAAACAAGACAGTTGTATTTTTTCTCATAGCTTCCTCCAACTTTTTTCTTTTCCATGGAAGAATGTGTCCCTGAGCAAGGACACAATCTGATCCATATATGCCCAGCCATTTATGCTTGCCAAAACAATGTTAACAAATAACTAAGACCTCTGGTTCAGCCAGCCAACTGGTACATGCCTATAATCCCAGCTACTTGGGAATCTGAGGCAGAATGATGACAAATTTGAGGCCAGCCTCAGCAACTTAGTGAAATCCTGTCTCAAACTCAAAAATGAAAAGGGCTGGGGAAGTAGCTCAGTGGTAGAGCACCACAGGGTTGAATATGCAGTACCATGAAAAAAAAGACTTCCTGGAGGGGGAACTTGTTCTGCTCTAGCCACCTCCACTGAAGGTGGGGAGAGAGGCCTCCATTTGACATTACCCTTGGGTCTCAGGTAATATGTCGCTCAGCAGAACAGGTGAGCAAACCTCCTACCAGAAATAAAATACCAACTTTCCCTTCCAGCAGGTAGTACAGTCTTTACCAGCCAGCCACTTCTTCATGTTGATTCTTTTAAACCCAGCCCCCACCACACACACACACACACACACACACACACACACACAC